GCTTCACCCATATCCTTCATCTCAAAAGTGGAGGATAGCCACGACTTAGTGGCATTGATCATCTCCATGTCATTTCCAGCCATAAGTATGTCATCTACATACAAAGTAAGAAACAAATTAAAATTCCTTTGTTTGTTTCCTTGACGTACACACAATGATCTTCATCCACAACGCTTAAGCTAATTGTAGTTATAGCTTCATGGAATCTGAAGTACCATTGCCTTGATGATTTCTTAAGACCATATATGGACCATTTGAGATGACACACCTTATCCTCATTTCCTTTTGAGACAAACCCAATGGGTTGATCCATATAAATTTCTTCTTCTAACTTTCCATTGAGGAACGCGATCTTAACATCCATTTGAAATAATTCCAAATCCAAATGGGCAACCAAGGCTAGAAGTAAGCGAATATAAGCTAATCTCACCATAGGAGAAAAGGTATCTTCATAGTCTATGCCCTCAATTTGGGTATAGCCTTTCGCTACTAAACGGGCCTTAAACTTTTCAATTGATCCATCTGCCCTTTGCTTAATTTTAAAGACCCACTTATTTCCAATAAACTTACGATTGGCTGGGGGTTGGACCAATTCCCAAACCTCATTCCTTGCCATTGATTCCATCTCATCCCTTATTGCATCCATCCATTCCGAACTATTAGGTGAGTTTATTGCTTCTCCATAAGAAGAAGGTTCATCTATAGCTAAAGGAGTGCAAAGGTACATTTCACCTTCAATTTGAAAGTACCGACGTGGTATATTTCCACGCTCACTCCTCCTTAAAGTAGGACCACCATTGTCACTCAAACTAGTTGACTCTCTCCCAATATCACCTAAGATTGTAGGATCATGATCACTAGTGGGTAACACCTCACTATTGTCGGTGACTTCATTAGGAGTTTCAAATTCCCCTCCCACACCAACAGGTAGTACGTGAAGGCTCTTCTTGTAACTCATACAAGTTTAGGTCCTTCTTCATCTCACATACACTAGGGAACTCATCCTCTAGAAAATCAACATTGCGAGACTCCATTTCAGTCATGCCTCCATTAGGATGTTCACCATACATAACATACCCTTTTGATTGGGATGGGTATCTAATGAACACCATTTTGGTTGCTCACGGACCAAGTTTCCCATACTTGTGTGTAGGGTTGTGAACATATCTAGCTGAACCCCAAGGGCGTAAATGGTCCAAGACAGGCTTTCTCCTAGTCTATAACTCATATGGAGTGGTGGGTACACTTTTACTAGGCACACGATTAAGAATATAGGTGGCCGTTAAAAGTGCATCCCCCCAAAAACTAATAGGGAGGTTAGCATGGGCCATCATTGATCTTACCATGTCTAGTAAGGTACGGTTCCTCCGTTCCGCAACACCATTTTGTTGTGGAGTACTGGGAATCGTAAGCTGTCTAAGTATACCCTTTTTCTCACAAAAATCTTTGAACATATTAGATAAATATTCACGACCTCGATCAGTTCAAAGATTTTTGACACTGATCTCCCTTTGGTTCTCAACTTCCGCTACAAAGCGTTTGAAACAATCAAGTTCTTTATAACGATGAGATAACAAATATACATGACTAAAACGTGAATAATCATCAATTAATGTGAGAAAATATGTAGCACCATTACATGCTTTAACATTCATAGGTCCGCAAATATCAGAATGAATTAATTCTAAGGGACGAGATGCCCTATGAGCCTTACCAAAAGGCTTCTTGCATGCTTTACCTGCTAAACATGGTTCACATTTAGGTAACTTAACCCTAGTGATATTTTCAAGCAAACCTTCTTTAGCTAAGCTTGTCATTCTTTCTTGGCCAATATGACCAAGTCTAGCATGCCATTTTAATGAGTATCTAGTCTAAATAAACCATCAACCAAACTACCATGTCCATACAAAATGTCATGATAATGAATATCTAAACTATCAAATTGGAAATTTAATGAAAATCCTAAACGTAGCAATGATATGAAAGAAGTCAAATTACATCGAACTCTAGGAGCATAAAGAGCATCATGTAATCGTAAGGTCTTTTCTCCATGAAGTTTAAGTTGGTAGGTACCAAAACCAAGGACTTCTTCCTCACTACCATTTCCAAGCATGACAGTTTGCGTGCCCACTGGAACTCGATGGTATTCCAAGAAGCCAACTCTATCACAAACTATGTGCTTGCTTTCTCCTGTATCTACAATCCATTCAGGAAGAGTATTAGCAACTAATGCATTAGAGCATACAAAACACTTAGAAGAGTTGGAGAAAGACAATACGTTCTTTGGTTCAGGACACTCCCGAGCCAAATGACCCTTCTTTCTGCAGTTGTAGCACGTCATGTGAGCTACATTCTTTTTCTTGGACTTACCATATTGGTGCTTACGAATCTCACCATTTTTAGGTCCTTTGGAAGGACGCTTACCCTTAGCATTATTGTTTTGCTTGGGATGTTTAGCCTTACGCTTCACAAAATGGGCGACATTGGCACTAGCAGTCTTAGACGGACCAACTGCTTGTAAGCGTTCATCCTCCATTTCAAGGTGTCTAGAGATGTCTTGAAAGGTCTTGATATTCTCACTGTGAGTCATGAGAGCTTTGAAGTTCCTCCAATGTTCAGGTTCATCAGGTAATGAACGAATCACACCCAAGATTTGTTCCTCATCAGAAACTTCACGCCCTGCAGTCTTAAGATCACGAATCAAGGCTCCCATCACACAAAGATGTTCTGCCATGGTGTGTTTTGGATCCTTTGAGTATTGCATCCATTTCAGGTTCAAAGCAAGAATCCTTGTAGCTGATGTTTGACCATATGTGATCTTAAGTCTGTTCCACATCTCTTGAGCATTGGAACAACTCTCAAACTCACCAATGAGGTCATTATGCATTTCTTCATCGTAATTTTCATGTTTAGGATCTTTGGGTTTCTAGAACCTCGCGTTCATTTAGCAAATATTGATTTTTCCTATGCCAGATGTCATAATTGGTGCCATCAAGTTTGTCAATAGAGGACAAATCTCCAATCAAGGTTTTGGATCCCATTTCTACAAATATTTAACAATGGACATTAGGCACATTAAATAATTAAATTATTAAAATCTTTTATTTATACCACAATTCAAAAATTTCGCTAAGCTAGTAATCATCACTTATGATAAAAAGAAAAGATGAATAACAATTTAATTATTGCTCATACAGAAACAATACGTATATAAACTTATGAAACCAATTCAGTTCCCAATATTTAATAAAGTGCCAAACAGATTAGCTAAATGGATCATTCACATAGATATGATCAAGAAAACATGCATGCATGATTTAATTATAAATTATGCTAAACATATTTGCAATAATTAATAATATAAAGTCAAACATGCTTGAGTATACTTTGCCACTTGTCACAAAGACATGCAAGTGACATACGAAACTTAGAATGTGAGTTTTCAATTACAACTAGTAATTTTAGAGATTAAAATAGATAGTGGAATACAACTATTCATACATAATATTGCAAGATGCAAACTGTAAAAGAGACCAACTCCATTATGCATTTTTTTTTATTAATTTAAACTTCTATAGTACAAATAGTCAGTGTATATAGAATGAAAACAGAGAAAATACATCCACAAAAGAAACACATCCCTCCCATTCTCTAGTTTTCTTTCTTATCTTTTATTATAAAATACACAAAGTACTCTCACCACATATAAAAATACCCCACCCGACGATCACTTAAATCACCACTTATTTCTTGTATCGCCTTTTCAAAACATTGATGTAACCAATACATATATCAGTAAGAAGAACCCCCGATACGACCTAAAAGTCCAAAATTGATTGATACAAGGGCGTGTAACGAGCACTTTTAAAGAATTAATATATTTTTTTAGAGGTTTTGGTGAGTTAAGTAATCATGTACTATGTACTAAACAAGAATACATAAAAAAAATAAAAAGTTTGCTTGGAAGTGTGAACTGATATACAGAAGATTAATCAAACTAATTGAAAAATCCATATGAATTTATGTAATTTATGGAACTAATCATCAAGGAATTAAAGTACACCGATTTATATTTGGAAGAGTAGTACACAACTTATTCATCTTGCAATCATGATTTTGACTAACAAAATAAGTAAAACTTTGGGATCATCATACGGCATAAAATTCAGACTAGCTATATACAATTTTGTATGCAAATTACTAAGAGAAAAAAATGATCCGTCCAAGGCATACGATTAGTATAATGAAATATGTCGATTAGTATAAATACGACATACGATTGTAAACTAATTACATATTATAAAATTGCACCACATACTTTATATTATTCTACAAGCATATCAGAGACATTAAAAGGAATAAAATATCAAGCCGGCATGATAAATATAGGTGCATGATCTCGTAACATAAAAACATGAAATCAAGAAGTCAACCATCTTCTTTAGATAACACATGATAGCAAACGTGGTGATATAATGTCAGATTAATTAGGCATATTTAACATATAATTATGCAACTAACACTTGTTGACAGAATCATGACATCATGATTTATAATAGCGGCGAAATCGAGTCATGGGCTCTGATACCAATATAGAATTTAAAAGGGTAAGGAACAATACTTACCTCTCTAGCAGAAGCACAACAAGATCTAGAACTCGCCTTACGAACCGCATCGGAGGGCTACTAGAGTCCTCAATGATAGTCACACTCCAAAACCCAGAGTCTAGGACGATGACTCTAATGGAAAGCACTCTCAATTTTGTGGAATATTTCTCCGTAAAATTGTACGTTCGTTGGCTACAACGGATATCATATTTATAATATTAGGAGTCCTTATCACTTAAGATTTTGGGTGTAACCAACTCTCAATGGGATGAATATCATCTTATTTACTTTCCTAAAATATGGATATTATCCCCTTAAGTTATATAGATCAAGTAACAAATACTTGCTTAGGATAAGATAGACTTTGGAGGTCACTTAATCTCCAATAGCTTTGACATTGCATTAAGGCATTGACAAGATTATTATCTTAAACCTCACAAACTATGCAATCTTTTTGTTTATTTATCTACCCATTAATCTTTAGGAGCTCAATTTCAAAAATTGTTTTTCATCTTATTACATTTAATTTTTATATGTACTTTTGAATTAACTAAAGCAAGGCATTGTTCGCACCACACTAATGTTACTTAAAATGTGATTCCCGTTCCTCAAAAAAAAAAAAAAAAAAAAAAAAAAAAAAAAAAAAAAAAGGTGATTTCCAAAAATTACTACGGACTACAGAGTACAATTTTTCACCTTCTCGGCTCCTCCCGCCTCCCGGTTCTCTTTCCTCCATTGAAGCGACTACTCTGAAGCGAATTGTGAGCTTTCTCTCCTCCATTGAAGCTTAGGTAAGATGTTTTCTCTTAATCAATGAACATCAGTTTCACAATCTAGTATTAACCCTTAATTTAATTCAATCTAGGGTTCTTCTAAGGTGGATAGAATGTTAAACCATGTTTTAGTTACAAGTATAATTTAATCACTGCACAAAGAAGAATTAATTTTGATAATTGATTCAGATTTGGTTGCTATGATGCTGCAAAACTCTTAAATGTTAAGACTGAATTATGAATTAGGAATTTTTCTCACTGCCTCTGCCAACATACCCAACTCCAGATTTTCACTTTATTATGCCAAAATTTAGGATTTGGGTTCAGTTAAAATTGTCTTTGCTGAATTTGGTATTCCTCATTCTTACTCTTTGACCACTTTGTTTTCAGCATTTACTAAGTTGGGTCAGGTTGATTTTGACTGCCAACTGCTTGATGAAATGCCTCTGAGAAATGTTAAAGCCTTAGAATGCTGTAATTATTTGTTTTTCTGAAACTGGGTATGATGATAATGTATTGAACTTGTTCATGAGAATGAATATGTTAAGTGTGAGCCATGATTATGCTTTTGCTTGCGTTCTTATTCCTCCTGCCCTGGCTCAGGGATGGGCCTGATAATGAAGTGTGGATTCCCTTGGTTGATGGGGTTTGGGCGAGGCAAGTCTTTTAAAGCTACTGATGCTAATTATTTCTGGGGTGGGATAAATGACTTTAGCTTTGTTAATTAAATTTGGCAAGGTGAATTTGTTGCCTTAGGTGTGGACGTATGGTGCAACGACAGTTTCAGTTTGATTTGGAGCTTTACGAGGCCAGGGTTTAACTCTTTGGCTTCAACTAAGCTGGGACTCTAGGAGGTTAGATGTTGGATTTAGCTGCTGAGTCTGATTGCTTTGATTTCATCTAAATTGAAACACATTTAGTTCCTACTTTACATTTGCTTGGTGATTGATACTATAATGTCTTGGACATAAGATATGATTTTGTCTTTGGTCCTTTGCTATGGAGGGGCAAAATCTAGGTCATACCAAAGCTAGATTTCTGTCTTTCATGTTAAAAGAAAAAATAATAATTGCTCTGATGATGTGCTAATTCATTTAATTGATTTGATGTCTCTAGACTACTGTACGTATATAGCTGGAATGCCTGTAACCTGTAAACAATACTTTTCCTTGTCTCTTGCTATACTTCAAAATATGTTTCTCTCTACATGTAACTATGTTTACAATCTTGAATTGAAGGCCAAATTCTTAAATTAGGGATTGTTTATTTAATTATTTTTGTCATCCCCAGATTTTTATAGGACTTGATGGGTTATTACTTATTTGTTTGCTTCTTGGATGTTTTGCTGGCAATTGCTAATAACTTTTCAAATTCACTTGCTTCTTACATGACTAGTCAGCAGTAGTGTAGTGCCAAAAGTACAGGCTTTTTGATGGGTACTAGCACAATTTGTCTGGGAAAATATAGAGATTTCATGACTTATTTATTTAAGTTTTAAAATTGCAGTGGGTGGAAGCCTTAATGGAAGGCAGTGGCGGAGCTATATGTGTGCACGCTGAGTCACGTGACTCAGCAGTGCAAAAAAAAAAAAAAAGTTTAATTAAAAAAAAAAAAAAAAAAACGCGTCATTCAACTCCCTCTCTCACAACCCTAAAGTCTCTAACTCCCTCTCTAACAACTCACAACCCTAACTCCTTCTCTCACATCAACCAGCCGACCACCGACGCCGGAGTGCCAGACCAGCCACCAGCCCACTGTGTCGTTCACACGTACGCATCAGGTCACCTCTTCACTCAATCACTCCTTCAAGCCTTCAAGACAACAAGGCCTTCAAGCCTGCGGCCACGGTGCCACCGCCTTCGGATCTACGGCGACCACCGAATAATTGACCGAAGCGACCAGTCGACCATCGAATGCTATGAGCCTGTGACTTTCTATTTTTAATTTCCAAATTTTATCACCCTTTTTGTTTCGAAATTATTATTCTTAATACAATTAGAAAGGTACGAGCTTTCTCCAAGTTTGCAATACTTCCATTTTATGCAGTTCAATTCTCAATTGTTTTTTCTTGTTTTATATTCAATGTTTTTTTGATTATTATGGGTTTATGTTGTGTTCTTGATTCTGGTTTTTTTTTTTCCTTCTGAAATTGTTGTTTTAGTTGATTAATCATGCGTTTGAGCTACTAATTGTGAAATTTAAGATTTTATTTGGTAATTTAATTTTAAGTTGTAATTTAAATTGCTCATAGTTCAGCTTTATTCAAATGCTTCTGTCAATTGCAGTTGCTTGATTTATATTTATCTGTTTTATATTTCAAGGTACAATGTTAAAAGCAAATTTCTCTGTTCTGATTTATATTTACCTTTTTTATAAAAGTCCCCATTGTAGTAGAATTATCAATTTTGAACTGTTTTTTAGTTAATTGTGAGAAAGTTTGGGGTATTTTTGTAATCCCTATTGTGCAAGGTCTTGTTTTTGTGTTAGTTTGTAGACTTGGAAAATGTAATAGAATCTGTTGCAACTGGCATTTGTAAAGTATATTTGTATATAGCATGACCAAAGTAATGGGATTTGTTTTTTTTTTTTTGTTTTTGTTTTTTTTTTTACAAGAACAGAAGAGCTTATATTACAACTAGATTAAAAGTAATGGGGTATGTTAGTTTGGCTAACTTATCAATTTTATAAAATTAAACAAGCTTTACTATTGCTATGTTATGAGCTTCAGATTATGGAACTTATATGTTAGGAGTCATATGATGGTATTTTTGGTGGTAATAGTAGCATATGGTTGGTATTTACACAACCGAGTGCCTTTGATTCCCTGGAAGCCTTTTGACACGATGTAAACCTTTGAGTTCAGGGTGACTCACAAGCTCGGAAATCCTGGATCCGCCACTGATGGAAGGTGATGCGGCTGATGCCAAAGGGGGGACAGAAAGCTTTCCATCAACGGTGTATGGTGATGGTGTATCTGTGCAAGAGTGTCAAAATATGATCCAGAGAAGTTTGCGAACTCCCATGGTGAAATTTCTGATGGAGAATTTGGAAAAATCAGGGTGTAGCATTGGAGATGGCTTCATAAAAGCTGTTGATTGTAAGCGGAAAATTAGTGGTGGTTATGTTCGTGGTGGAGGGATAATGGTATGTAGTAATTATATGAACATGCAAGATGAGGTCAACCAAGTTCTGATTCATGAGCTCATTCATGCTTATGATGATTGTACAGCAAAAAACTTAAATTGGGCTAATTGTGCTCATCATGCTTGTAGTGAGATTCGCGCTGGCCATTTGAGTGGTGATTGCCACTTCAAACGAGAGCTATTGCGTGGCTATATGAAGCTCCGAGGTCATGAACAAGATTGTGTGAAGAGAAGAGTAATGAAATCAGTAATGGCCAATCCTCACTGCTCTGAAACAGCTGCCAAGGATGCAATGGAAGCTGTATGGGAGACTTGTTACAATGATACACGACCCTTCGATAGAGCTCCTTGAGATACACTAGTTTTCTTATAAGTGGCTTATGTGTAATGTTTGAAGCTGGTTACACAAAATTTTGTTTCCAAACTTTATAACATTTGTTTACTTTTCTCTGAAACAATCTTAATTGTTGCACCACTTTATAGTGGCTCTATTTGATAGGCAGTTCAATTCGAAACAATTATACTGGAATTTGTACGGGCATGAATCAAACAAATAAATCAGAATTTTTTTTAGCATGATTTCAATCATTGATCCCTTTGCTTAATTGCTTCTCTCCTCCTTTCAAATTTCAATGAGACAGAATCTGCAGCTGGTGCCACTTGTGGTCTCACCACTTTCGGAACAAAGATTTTGGCAGCTCTGAAGGATGAAACAAGGAGTCAGTCATGATTAGTCTTTCCTCAGAAATTTAGAAATTTAGGTGAAGTTACCCAATGCATGCATAATCTGAAATAGAGGGATTTAGATTGCTCTTATGTTGCTTCGGTACCTAAGTCTTGGAATCAGATATAGTTGTAAGATGTTATTTTTAGCTATGCTATGTATCAACTAAGATGTGATATGTATCAATACTTCTTGTGAAGTGTTTTGTCCTCTTTTCTTATTGAGAACTAACCTTACAAAGATCTGTTATTTGTTAGCTATACTGAATTTCTAAAGTGACTCCATGATTGGTCTACAACCGGAGTTGAGTTGCTGATAGAAAAAACCCCCTTAGACACAGAATTTGCTATTTGTGATTATGTGACTAGGGTGGCAAGTTGGTAACGACGGATATGATTCTTGCAACCCGTGCTCAGGTCAGATGGCTATCAGGAAATGTACTAGCTGCAGCTCCTGTAATGGGAAAACCTGGTTGTCACTATTCTGTAATCTGTGTTATTTGGTATTGATTTAAGTTGGTTTTACAATAAGTGGTGTGACATTACATGTAGCAGTTCCACATCCCTTGCTCAACAAATTCAGTGTTCAGGTGCTTGATTCTCTTGTGGTTAAAAGAAGTGAGAGTTTAATGATTATTGTCAGTAGTGTCACTGTCTCAGTACTGCCTGAAATGCTTCATGGCTTAGTACTCGACTACTTGGGGAAAAGCAGAAATTTGTGTACTTATCTACGGACAATGTATTTTACCTCCTTTTTTTGTTTTATATATAAAATGTTAATTTGTAATGACCATTATGATGAAATCAATCGCTAATGTTAGTACCTTTTTTTTTTTTTTTTTTTTTTACCATTATGATGAAATCAATCGATATTGTTAGGACTATTGGTATTTTGCTTTGGTTAGAGCATCAACACTCGATAATATTCATCCAAAAGTTGTAAATTTTTATTACCCGGTGGCATAAAACTATACCATCAAATGGTATATACCATCCCATGGTAACCTTTTGCTTCGTTCCACGTGAAATATGAACCAACCAGGTCATGCCATGTGGCCTGACTGTCATACATCTTTTATTTTATTTTTTTTTCAATTGCATTTTTAGAAAAAATTATTAAGTTAAAAATTATGAAAAAATTACCATTGTTCGTAATATTTCAAGACATACACATAGACACCCATATTGATATAGTTTATATATTTTTGAAATTCACTTTTTTCTACATAAATTGCTTGTTTTTATTTAATTAACTTTATAAATACTCCCTCTGTCCCCTTTTGAGAGCACACACAATGGTGAAGAAAAAAAAATCCTCACCACTCTCTCTCTACCGTTCCCTCTCCTCCACATCAGATTTTTTGTGAGGGAATTTTTTTAATCCCACTAATGAATAAATCAAAAATTTCCCCACCAATCTCTCTCTTACTTTTCCTACTACCCCACCACATTTCTCTCTCTTATTTTATTTTTAACTTTTAGTAAAGTAATTTTTTTGTACATGAAAATGTCAATAACTAAATTGTGGTTATTTTTATTATTACGTAATTAAGTGATAATTATACAATAACGAGTTAGTTATTTATTTGTAATGACAAGATTTAATATTTTACTTTTAATAGGTGTTTTACAATTTTTTCAAATATTTTAACACCGAATAATTTGCAAATAAATTATGAAATGAACACATAATGAAATTAAAATAAACACATAATGTTAAACCAATACAACGGTACATTAGAGAAGAACATTGGTACAATCACAGAAATGCTAAACGATTTCAAGGATTATTGTCGCCAAACTTTTGCCAAATGTGCTCTATCAAATCATCTTTAAGAGACTGATGAGTTCGTCTATCACGTAGAGCGTCCCTTTTCTCTAAGTAGTTGTTAATGTTGATCGGACGTCCGGTCTGGAACTGGAAGGGTTCATCATCATTGACAGTGGCACTTGTACTAGCTTGGTGTCTACGACGTGGATTTTTAGAAGCTACATCTTTTTCGTAGTATCTTCTTATTACATCTGCGTTTTTATATGTATCTCGCTCATCCTGGACTATCATATTATGAATTATTATACAAGTCTTTATAATGTCAGCTAATATATCTTCATCGTAAGCGAGTGCTGGTTGTCGTATAATCGCAAACCTTGCTTGCAGAACTCCAAATGCACGTTCAACATTCTTTCGCGCACCAGCTTTCCGATCAGCAAAAAGTTTTTTCTTAGGAGTTTGAGGATGGGTAAATCCTTGGACGAAAGTAGCCCAATTAGGATAAATACCATCAGTTAGGTAGTACGCCAAGTTGTACTCATGGCCATTCACGGTAAACTTAACAGGAGGTGCCCGGCCTTGCAAAACATCATTAAAAACAGAGGAACGATATAGAACATTAAGATCATTACACGAACCTGGAATACCGAAAAAGGAATGCCAAATCCATAGATCTTCATCTGCAACTGCTTCCAAAATGAGGGTTGCGTTTTTGTTTCGTCCGCAGTATTGACCTTTCCATGCATTAGGGCACTTTTTCCACTCCCAATGCATGCAATCAATACTCCCAATCATGCCTGGAAATCCACGGTGTTCATTTCTATACAAGATCTTTCGTAGGTCTTCATCAGTCAGGCTTCGTAAATACTCAGCTTCATATTGTTTGATAACACCCTCACAGAACTTTGCAAGACATTTCCGTGCAGTTGTTTCACCCATTCTTAGGTATTCATCAATGGCATTTGGAGCAACCCCATACGCCAACATTCTCATTGCTGCAGTGCACTTTTGGAGTCCATAACCCTAATCGCCCCGCAGCATCTCGTCTTCTGACGAAAAATTGATCATTTTCCATCATCGTATTCACAATCTTACAAAACAGAGGTCTCTTCATTCTAAACCTGCGCCGAAACTTATTTCCATTGTAAATTGGAGGGTCTGCGAAGTAGTCATTGACTAATTGGTTATGCCCTTCTTCTCGTTTCCTATCCATACGAACAACAACATTATCTTCTTCAGTATCAAGTTGTGTTTGAGGTGGTGGAGGTGGTGACAATATAGTTGGTAAGTGATTAACGAAAAAGTCGTCAATAAGTGAGTTTATTTCTTCATTTTGGTCTTCTAAAGAAGAACTTGAGCTTGTTGAGCTATTTCCAAACAACATTCTTTCTATTTAAATTAATTTTTGTGGAGGTTAGGGTTATGCATGATAATAACTGAAGCATATAGTCTTTATATAGAACCAAAAGAAGCAACAAACACATTCAAGGTCATACAGTCATGTGCTAGATATATGACTCGACAATGCCTTTACAGTAATCACTGTGATTGACAATTCAATAACACTTAATTGTCATAAATGAATGGACAACCCCATGCCATGACAGTCAATTAATTGTCATTCAGTGACTTGATATTTCAATGACACATATATGACTGTGATAAGGTGACTATAATATTTCACTGATACAAGAAACTAGTACGTTGGGCCAATGTATACATTAAATAAATACTACACATTAAACAATTTGAAAATTAAAACTTGACTAAACACTTAACATTACATAACCCTTAAATTAAAGACCTAATTTGAAAATGACAACAAACAATTAAAACACAAAGACTAAATGTAGAGTTATCACACTTAATTACTCTTCAAAAAGTTCATCTAGTAGTTTTTGTTTAATCATCTCTTCCTTTGGGGTGAGCGATGTCTTAGATAAGAACATTTGTAACATGTCAAATTTATGCTTCAGCTTATCAGACCGCATCTTCTCTTCTTGTAGCTGAATATGTTTCTCCTCTAACTCTAATTGTCGTTGTTTCCTCATTTCCTTTTGCTTTTCAAACTCAAATTTTTGTTGTTTAAGAGTTAACTCTGAACCTCGTTGATCGGTGTGAGCCTTGATCTGTTCCCCCATACTAATAACAGTTTCTTCTGTTGCGATCCCTTTGCCCTTTCTTTTTGCCTTTGCTTTCTTTACACCATCTGGGCGTGCTATACCTGCAGATTTGTAGCTACTACTTTCATCTCCTCTGCTTCTCTTACCACTATCAATGCTATTTTGAAGCTCAGTTTCCGCTTTGTGCTCAGCATCAACTTTCTTTCGTTCTTCCTTATCCATAGCCCACCTCGTGAACTTTCTCCACTTTGGATATTTGTTCACCATTTCCCAAGCATTCTGAAACTTGAAGTTCCTAGGCCCTTTTTTGCATGACCTTCGAAAAAATTCATGAGCGTTTTTGATGATATCTTCATCGTTATATCCACTTTTGGATAATCCAGAAGCTTCATCTAATGCACTAGCCCAAGTGAGTAGGTCTCCAACCATCCGTTTCCAATGACTCTCCAACATGTTCATATTTCTCTCCGGTAACTCGAATGGTCGAGCCCTTTGGGTCGCAGCATACGACTCATGAATACTTCTCCAAAGATCGGTAAATTTAATATCTTTACCTATAGTCGAATCTGTGCAATGCTGAAAGTAGGCCGCAATTAAAGCTTCATCTTCTCTTATAGACCAATCACGATTGTTTGTTGCAATTGGAAGTGGCTGATTTGGCCTTACATGGAGTTGATGCGACAATATGGGTTCCGGAGGGGATTGAGGTGTATCCGGAACAATGTCCTCTTCATCTTCACTCACTTGACTGTTGCTTCCTTGATAAACTTGTGGAGATTGCTCATAATTTTGAGAGGAAGGAGGTGGTTGTTGTGTAGGAAAAATAGATATATTTCCTCCAAATCTCTCAAGAAGTTGAGAAATTTGTGGATGATTGACAAGATAAGGATCAAAATCATTTAAATATTGTGAAAAATTGGGATTATTAGGATCCATTTTTAGCAAACAAAACCACTAAACTCTTGCTAATTTTAGATGGATTTAGAGAGAAAAATATGATTTTTTGAGGTGAGTTAAAATATATCAAAATGGGTGTCATTTTATAGAGCAAAATATTTTGTGACCGTTGGTGTAATTATTTTATTTTTCTGTTAACTGAAAATTTAAAAAATAGCCGTCACAAACAAATAACGGTAAGAAATTCTGCCCAAAAAATGTGATTGGTTGATTTAAAGACCTTGCCAAATGTCATTACTTGGGTGACTATATTTAAAGCTTTTTAAAAAAAAGGAATAAAGTAATAAAGTCTAACTTTTTCCTTGTGGGGCCCACATGAAGTTTTTCACAAACTTCCTCATGTTGAGAATATTTTCTCAGAAGTTTGTGATGTTTTTGGTGAACTTTTACCATTGGGATACACTATTGATTCCCTTACGCAGCCTGGTCTCTTGCTATGCTTTCTTCCTTTTGTTTCCTCTGGTTAGTGCAGGTCACCCTGTACACCCTTTTGAATTATGGTTCTCAGGGATGCTCCTTAATCACCCCTATGTAATATAATTTCGTCTCTTTTTTTTTTAAAAAAAAAGATAAAAAAAAACTTTGAAGCAAGAATTTTATCACCATTGGGATAGCTCTGATAGTCCCTTATGGACAAATTTTAGTCCCAAAATGTTTACCCCGTTTGCTTTTCTAATAACTATTAATATTAATTTTTTTTTTATCAAAATTTCCTCTAATTTACAACAATATTTGTGCAAATTTAATTTTCTCATGTAAATTTTGTTTTCCCATGCACTTTTATTACTTTCTCTCTCAACTTTTTTTCATACTCAATGTCAATTTACTTTTTCAATGTATTTTAGCTATTCTTTTTTGTGTTTATTAATTCCCGTGAAAAATGTCCATAAGGGACTATCAAAAGGGGACGGAGGGAGTAGTAATTAGTTATTTTCAACATAAAACAAAATATAATTATAATTTAATTAAGTGTATAATTCATACACATAGGAGAGAGAAACTATGCTGGTAAACTTTTTTTTATACCATGGGTGGGGTGATTTTTGGAGAAAGTATATTGTATTGTGGTATAGATGATGTGGAGGAGTGAGAAAGTGGTAGAGAGATAAGGGTGATATAAATTTTTATACTTTAAGTGATTGATGGTCTTAAAGGGAAAAAAATTTATAGACGATTGACCATTTGACCCCTCACTCAAACGACTTTCAAGTGGCCCAAGCTCAACTATTAGTCTACAACCAACTTTTGAAACACCCCACCAAAAAAAAAAAAAAAAAAAGCATGGTATTTGAAAAGGTTTTTCCGGAACATTCCAGCATTCTCTCTACAACTAAGCAGAAAACCAAGTATTTTCTAGAACACGCCACTTTTCATAATTAAACCCCTTTCACTTCTCATCTTCCTTTGTTGTTGAATCATTTCTCTCACTTTGTTTCTCCTCTGAATTTTCTTGACATTGTGTTTTCTGTCTTTTCAAGTCTCTGTTTCTGCAACAATGAGGTAGTTAATTGCCTTTCTTATTTCTAATTTTCATTATATATCTTTATTCATGGTGAATATGCATGAATTTCTTCTTGTTATTGTTGTTGTTGTTTTTTTTTTTTTTGTTAATTATTAGTATGAAATTTGGGTTATGATTGGTATATTATTTGAGTATTTCTTATGGAACTTATATAAACTTGCTGATTTTTCTATTTTGATGATTATTTTCTAGGAAGAAAAGTAAACAAAAAAACCCCATTTATTGCATATTAGAAATGCTGTTAGACTCTAAACAAGTGTTTTTAATGAAAATTTCTTTGTTTAGTTTACAAGAAAAATTATAGAGGAAAGCTTAAGGAGTGTAAAGCATATTAGGAGGCAGAGGAATGGCATTCCTTCTTTAGAGAATAGAAATTTTTGTATAATTTTGTTAAAAAACCGAAACTATTTTCTTTCAAAACAAATGTAACCTTAGTGAAGTAATAATGGTGAAAATGGTTATGTTAAAGCAATTGTGAGCTTTGTGACTTAAGAATTTATATTTATTCAGAAATTTTTGAAAAAAAATCGACTTACTGAATTTCCTGTTCTAAATATTGGAATTTACGGGACGTTTGGATTGTGGGAATGAGAGTTTGGGGATTAAAAGGTTGGAATGGGATTCAGAATTAATTGATGGGAAATACATGAAAATATGCTAATACCATGTTTGGATAGTGGGTGGAAATATATAGGGAATAAATAACAATTTTACAAAAAATATCCTTACAAAGATTATTATTAATGGCAAAAATGTCATTTTCCCCCTATTTCCATTCTCATTCATTTATTTTCTATTCACCCATAAATAATCCCATTCCCAAACCCCTTTTTATTCCCATTCCCACCCACCAAATAAGGCTTATTTTTTTATATTGGGATTAAAATTTATGTATTTTTTTTAAAAACAAATCAATCATATAACTAATATATAAAGCTAAACTTTTAGCCGGTTAACGAGGCATCGACACTTAACGTTTCAACTTTTCGCCAAGTATCGTGCCACGTTGGATGGATTTAAATAGACAATTAAAAAGTTAATTTAATTTAGAGTTTAGATATAATTTTAGAATAAAATTGTTAGTTTAGAGTTTTATTTTCAATAAAATACCAATAATTTAGAGGTACAAATTGAATTATAATTTTGTTAATTTTTTTTTTTTATAAAATATAGCAAATCGTCATTAAAAGCACATCAATTCCTAACTAATTTTGTATCAATGATATGTTTAAAAATTTGACATAAAGATTAAAAATTTATTTTCAATAAACAACCTGGGTATCGCACGGGACACAAAACTAATTTATTAATAAAAAGTCATTCGGCATCAACAAATGAAAGCTACATTAACAAATACATAAAATTGAATCAAATTAGGGTTTCCTTCATCAAAGCTACGATCGTTGAAAAAATCTTACACTGTGGTACATCACTTGCACACATCGCTGGAATATACAACCTTCTCGAAGAGACGGTCTAACGATTTGTTGTAGCCGTAAGGATGGTTTTCATCTAATTCGCTTGAACGCGTTTGAAAACTTGCCAATCGTTGCGATCCCGAATAAATCTTTACCAAAGAATTGACAATAGGGCAAAAGATTATTACCTTTTTGATAAAACCTAACACACAAACAAACCCTAAACATAAACAAACTGATGTAATTGGTTTTTTCAAAAAAAAAAAAAAACTTATGCAATTGGTAATGTTTGTTTGTACTTTTGTAAGTTCATTACCATGTTAAAGTTTATTCTGATCTTTTATGAGATTTTGTTTCCAAAATTACGTATACATTTATATCCATTACCATCATTTATAATTATTTACCAAGCGAACCATTAAAGATATAACTTTTATTTGGTTGGTTAGGTTGGTACACTTTCATATGATTGCTATAGTGTTGGAGTGTTGGTTGTGTGATTGAATAGATAAGGTGACAAGAATTAAAAATTGGATACCTTATACTAGACCTTGAATTAGTATAGATCTTATATCCGTTGGTCTACTCATGCTCAATTTTAAAATGAAGTGTTGAGTATATTAGGCTCATTCTAATCACCTTGGGTTATCTTCAAAAGTAAGAATTTTTAAATTAAAAAAAGTATATATGGAAAAGATCCAACTATCAGTTTTCCTATACATCTCATTTGTAAAATCTTGGTCTACTCTTTGTGTTTATTATCACTTAATTGTATTAGTAATACACATCTTACTCTTATGGTAGTTTTTTTATATGTTGGCATGCCTTTTTCTTTTTCTTAAAAGTAAAAGGCTAGATGTTAGGTGGTACAAATTAGTGTAAAATTATTATGGGATAAATTTCTTAAAGCTCCTTATACACTTTAGTTTTGTAGGTGTTAACAATATACACAGTATGTTCTATGGATGAAAGAGACCATCTGTGCAATAATTTGCACACTATGCATGTAGTTTTATTGATTCATAGTTCATTGATATATTATGTAAGTTGAATATGAATTACGGAGTATGAATTTTGCCAATCCCATTCTCCTTGAAATAGTACATTATGTGACCCTTTTTGCTGTTGGTGATTATTGTTTATATGATTATGTTAGTGGCTGAAAAATATTGAATGTTATAGCTTTTGACACAGTATATGTAAAGTTGTGTTCTAACAAAAATGTCTTTCAGCTAGTAATTCAAATCTGAAAAAAATGTATTTTTTGTTAATTTATTTTCCTATTAAAACACCTGAAGATATTGTATGGCTCTGTGGCCTTCATCAATGCAGATTGTATCTGTACCATTTATAGCCAGTCTAGTAATTACCGTGTCTTCAAGTCACCACTGTTTTCCCCTGAATGACTACCATATCACTCTCTTGATGTACACTGGTGCAATGAAAGAAATAAGCAGGGCCTGAGTCGAATCGTTTTCTAATTTTTGTTGGTGAGTGACATACTCCTAACTCCAAAGGTTGGAGTAGGATAGTTTATACTTTATAGCCAGTTCCTTTAGCAATTTAATGGGGGCCAAAATTTATGTTATTTTCACAATAGTAGCCTATGTTTCTTTGTAGTATTCTTTACTCTGAATTCTAGCTGTTATAGGTCATTCTACTGCATCTGATGAAAATGATGTTCTTAATCACTGGCACTAATAATGTCAATCTTTAACAAGCTCTAAAGATACTGATATGTTTCATAATGTTTGTAGTCGACACCCAACTGTTAAGTGGGCTCAGACGTCTGACAAGATCTATATAACTGTTGAGTTACCCGATGCCAAGGATGTAAAGCTGAAGCTCGATCCTGATGGAAAATTCTTCTTTCAGCTATGATAGATGGCAACCCCTATGAGGTTGACATTGAGTTATTGGATAAAATCAATGTAGAGGTATATAAGTATGTTTTTTAGCGAGGTTTGTGCTATACTAACAGTGGAATACTGGTGTAGCTGACTCCGGCTTGTAAATTTCGATTTCAGGAGAGTAAGTAT